TGGCAGTTGTTGAACGGTGGAGCGTAAGGGCTGGTAGTGCAGTAATCTAGCAACTCGTGTCCGGATGTGAAAATGAGTGGATCGATTCCCTTCCATTTCATAGCCGTTTTGAAAAACGGACTCTGTTCATGAGGAATGGAATCCACTGCAATCATTTGAGTGAAATGCTGTTGCGCTATAAGTCAATTGACTTTATATAAATTTTTTCAGCTCAGTCATCGTGCAGCCATTGCATTGTCAGCAAGCGCGGGCTGATTCTGATAGCCTCTAGTCTATCTGCTCTTTCCCTTTTGCTTTTCATTCTCACATTCCTCATGTATCTTCGGCTCTCCAGATGTTCGAGTTTTTGTAAAGGTTCCTTTTTTCAATTTCACGAGAAATAATTACTGCACTTTGAATTCTAATCTTCTTTCACAGTTCTGAAATCGTTCAAGTAAGCTTCCTCCTGCAAAAAAATTGTACTTTATATTTTAGAGCATAGCTAAAGTTAAAATAATAAAAAAGAAGGGTGTAGCACTTGGTTCTGTCATCTATTATTCTCTCTCAGAACTGATTACAGCTTGCCAGTTTCAGGATCATCACCGACCCTATCCAGGATGAATAGCTTAGCGCCATATAGGAACAAATGTAACGACGGTTTCGTCGCGAGACAACGGCCGCAATACAGCAGTACTGGAGCGCGGCAACCATCCAAACGATAAAATGCTTAAACTAATTTCTGTTGCTTTGTTACTATCGGGTTTTTGTTTGAATAAACCTAATTTGAATTACAATCCACAATTTTTAAGCAATTTTGTATACACGGCAGGTTGGCATTAGCAAATGTCAGGGAGTTAAACCCACCATCAAGCTTGCTCAGAGCAGTTCTTTGAAGGAATGGCAGCAGGTAGGCGCTGTTGGACTGTATCGTGTATTTTAGAACTGAGCAAGCTATAAAATCGAAATTCTGAAGTCAACTCTACCAAATCTGTATTTAAAATCACAAATAAATTCTTCGGAAAATCCTAGAAGAGCAGTAAAGCTTCGTCGTGACTTACTAATTTAGGAATAATTTCAGGTTGGTACAAAAGCCTAACATAAGGAAGAAACAGTTTGAAATTGTAGTAATCAAAGGGCTAGTTATCAATTCTTAATTTCTGCATACTCTGGTCTGTAAAACCCAGGCTGGAAAGTACCGACGGGACCCGTGCTATCATATGTTTTTGCATTGGAATTGAAGTACTCAGGTCATTAACTGCATGAACAGTTGTTGCTTTTAACCTACCTTTTGCCTTCACTAGCATAAATCACCATAAATCTTGCATAAAATAAATGTACAACTTCCATTTAACGGTCTTTCTTTAAAAGTAACCTGGCTTTCAGTGAGAAATTTTTCCGTCAAAACTTTTAAGTGCCCGTACGTAAGAACCACGCATACCTTAAAGCTGAATTTGAAATACTTAAGTTGTACTTGGACAAGGGAGAACCCCCCAAAATTTTAGCTTTCTAGCTTTTCTAGTCCCCGAGTTAGCAATTTTCCCGCTAAAACTTTCATACGCCCTTACATGAGTACCACGCACAGTTGGGGGCTGAATTTGAAATATTTCAGGTTAGACTTGCACAGGGAACATTCCACCAAAATTTCAACCTTTCTGCTTTTCTGGTTGCCGAGTTAGCAATTTTACCGCTAAAATTTCAATGTACCCTTACCACGCACACCGGTTCAAGTGCCTAAAATTTCGGATTTATCTTGTTTGGTTCTATATTAGAAGAAAAGCCTTTCACGTGCCCATAAACGAAACTAGTGAAAATTAGGTTATGCAAGTTTATAAAGTCGCAGATAGACATGAAGCATCTTCACATATATCGAAAAGGCAGTGGTTATTGACTGGAGATACTCAGCCCTGAATCGAAGGGCTTGGCATGCAGAAGCAGCCCAGTAAAAGGGATAGCCCCAAAATGGTAGCCCAAGATTTTATGCGCTTTTGCTGTGCAGCGCT